AATGAAAATTTTGTTCTTCGCGATCGTGAAAGAAATTCCGCGATCGCGATGTGTAAATAACTGGCAGCAGAACTTAAGTTTGAAATCGAGGGTTTATTTCATATTTCACAATTTGGACTTAGGGAGCTCAATTTGAGGCGATATTTCGAGGGATTGTTAGGGTAAAAGTTCTTAACTCGATTTTGATTAAATTCTACTAATCTATCATTGATTTTATCATATAATTAGGGATTTGAGTTGGAAAAATTGGGGAAAATTGATAGAACTTCTTAGGCTAAATTTTTGAGTTTTGAAAGGAGAAATGATATCGGATTTAAATAATTCTTGTATGGTTGGACTCGATATCGAATAAGTGTTCGGTTTTTATAATTTTGGTCGGGTTCTGAGACGCAAGCCCGGGTCGACTTTTTGGGGCGATTTTTCAATTCTTTGCTAAGATAATAATTTCATTATTTAAATTAGTTTTCTATAGTTATATTTATAGTATGAAATTATTTTGGCTAGATTCGAGCCGTTTGAAGTTTGGAAAATCGAGGAAAAGGACCTTTCTAGTTGACTGATTTAGCGTGATTTGAGGTAAGTGACTTGTCTAACCTTGTGTGGGGAAAATTTTCCTTAGGATTCGATATTGTGTGATATTTGTGATATGTGAAAGCCGTGTACGCAATGTGACGAGTGCATACACGGACTAAATATAAAATTTTCGATTTTTAGCTACGTAGTCTCCTTTCTCCAACAAGGTGATTTTCCATCGTGCTTAATGACTTACCTGGAGCATGTAGTTTTTCAAGTGTATATGGTGTACTTTTTGGACTCTCACATAGTTGGAACAATGATTCGATGGTTTGTTCTAATTCATATGGTTTATCTTCCTCATCTTGATTATATTGTCTTGATTGAGTATCATTTTATTATTATGCCTATCAGTTTTAAGCATCCATCCTTTCTTTCTTACGCATCATCATTGGAAGTATTTATCAATTAATAGATTTAGAGGCGGGAGGTTTTCCCCTGACTATCAATATGGCTTTATTGCAATATCAAACCTATTGCTAATTGTATCAACTAGTACTCCTTTCTTCTGTTCTTGCTTCAGAAAAAGGAAAAAACCTGGTTTTTAGTATGTATTTAATAGTTTTGTTGCAAACAAGCATATTTCTTACTGTTTTCCAATAAAAATGGTGTACTGTTCCTGTTCTCTGGCACGGTTTGGGCCAATTCTGTATATGTTATGGTGGGTGTTCATTTTTTTATTCGACTTACATACTTCTATTGGTTAAGGGGTTCTTAACGCAGTTTTATTTGATGCTTTGTTCTGAATATTAATTTCATACTGAATGTTCCAACTTAAGTCTGTATTTCGGTTGTCTAACTAGTTAATTTCATGTTTGACTTTGTAAAAAGTTGAGAAGAAGTTGGAGAAGCTTGCACGCACTGTACATTCTTTTAATTTGTATATGCTGGTCAATTATGGTCTCCCTATCCCATGCTCGCCCACTCCTACAATGTTGAGATGTTCCCTGCACTAATCAGCATTGAGTTGAGTTATAGATGTTTGGCCAATCCGGAGAAATCAGCTTATTTTGAGAAGTGCTTTTTTCAAAAGTACTTTTGGAGAGAAGCAGTTTGTGTTTGGCTAATCACTCTGAAAAATACTTTTGAGCAATAGTTTCTGTTTGACCAAGCTTTTCAGAAAGTGTTTTTAAGTATCAAATTACGAATAAGGACATGTATAAATTTACTTAATATTTAATATTATAAGTAAATAATTAATCTTAAAAAATTATTATTGCAGGCAATAATTAAATATTTTTATTTTATTTAAGTAAAATATGAAAACAAAATTTAAAAGTAATTAATTCTTTTAATATAAGTTAAATGTATTAAAAATCATTCAATAAATATAAAAGCATTCACACCCCTAAAGTCATTATATATTAGAAAGCTATCCTAAAAATAATAAAAAATATTTATACATTAATATCTTAAGTATTAGGTTTAATGGTTATTTTGGTATATACTATATTTTGTTAAGGGTATTTTTGATAAAAGAAAAGTCAAAACTGCTTCTGCCCAAAAGTATTTTTTTTCTTCAAAAAAGGTTGGCCAAATAGCTCAAGATAGGAAAAAAAAATATTTTTGAGAAAAAAAATACTTTTGGGCTACGGAGAAGCTTTGCCAAACAGGATATTAGAAAGCTTAAAAATGAGCCTTTCAAGTTGTGTGAAAGGTTGGACCAAGAGATAGAGACGATGAAGTCAACCAAATAAGTTATCACTTCTGTTTTAGAGTNTTTGTGCTTTTTTTTCTTTGTATTTTGCAAAAGATTCCTATTTGATGTCTTATTCTTTTAAAGAGCAACAAGCTCTGGCGGGTGAGGATCAGTAACTGATGCTATGTCAAGTGCGCAGACTTCTTCAACGCCTGGAGTATCAGATGACAAATATCGGAACTATGCCGTGGTAGCTAGACTGGTAACTGGTGTTCGCAGTTACCAGTCTTTACGGGTTCGCAGAGGGTTTAGCTTTTTAGAGAAAGAGAAGTTCGATTCTTTAAGACATTCGAAACTTCTTATCTATGGCAAAAAGAGCTCAAATAATTACAATTACAGTCCCTGAAATCAAAAGACTTGACTTGATATTTTGAGACCCCAGAATCCATTTGTGATTCTTTTTCACAAAAAGAATAGAAAGAGTTACCTAACTAAGTATAACGCTCTTTAGAAACATCGCTATATATGTATAGCGCAGTTATAAAGAGCGTTATACCTGTTTTGTGGGCCCACCAATAAGTCTCTTGCATTTAACTTAACTGACCTATTGATTCAAATGGGTATAGCGCCCTTTAAAAGAGCGCTATACCTAAAAAAATTCAGCCCTCGAGCTAGACATTGCCTTATTTAAAGGCGTTAGGATTTTACAAAAATCTATTCAAAAATATTCCTAACTCCCATTCAAATTTTTCTTCTTGTTAAATTCTCAAGAGCTATCAAACTCATGCGACTGGCCCCTGAGTGTGCAGTCTCATCCTGTGGCCTGAAACCAGTGAGCTGCTACAACATGTCCAAATACTGCCCACGCGTCATCTCTCTCATGGCCTGAGGCAGTGCAACGGGCAATCCATCAATAGGCATCCCATATAAAACCTCCACGTCCTACAGCGTGATGGTGGCCTCGCCAATGGGCAGGTGGAATGTTTGCGTCTCTTGTCGCCACCACTCTATTAGGACCGTGACCAAAAACCAGTCGAGCTGCAGCCGCCCAATCTCCAAAATCCACTCTCCTGGCACGGAGAGTCTGGGCCAGTAACTCTCCCTCCTATACGTAGGCGGACCTATGATCGCCCCTGTAACACTAATAGTTCATCGGAGAAAGGTCCTGATGCATAGGCGGCACGTCCATGTCGCCTACTGTAAATTAAACAACATTAATTGTATGTTTGATCTATAAATTAAATAATTAACTTTTGCAGTTATACAATATTTAATTAGACAGAGTATATATCTATGGGTTTCAGGCTCGATATTTGAGGCCCAGTAGCATCAAGCTATCCTGAATTCTTATATGTGTCAATTTTATTATTTTCATAATTTTGTATGTTTGTTCTGTAAATTAAATAATTATTTTTTATAATTCTACAATATTTAATTGGACAGAGTATATATCTTTGGGTTCCATGCTCGATATTTGAGGCCCAGTAGCACCAAGCTATCCTGAATTCTTATATGTGTCAATTTTATTATTTTCATAATTTTGTATGTTTGTTCTGTAAATTAAATAATTATTTTTTATAATTCTACAATATTTAATTGGACAGAGTATATATCTTTGGGTTCCATGCTCGATATTTGAGGCCCAGTAGCACCAAGCTATCCTGAATTCTTATATGTGTCAATTTTATTATTTTCATAATTTTGTATGTTTGTTCTGTAAATTAAATAATTATTTTTTATAATTCTACAATATTTAATTGGACAGAGTATATATCTATGAGTTTCAGGCTCGATATTTGAGGCCTAGTAACACCAAGCTATCCTGAATTCTTGTATGTGTTAATTTTAATATTTTACATGTTAGTTTCATAATTTTATATGTTTGTTTTGTAAATTAAATAATTAATTTTTATAAATTGGACAGAGTTTGTGTTTTATCTATCAATATATGAGATACTTAAACTATAGGAATACTATGCTAAAAAGCTCCACATTTTACTACGCTAAAAGAGCACTATATTACTAGTCTTTAAGCAAATAAATAATCTAAACTAGATAAAAACAACAATAAATTTAATCACAAAATATTCACGAAAATACATATAAAACAGTAAAAGAAATTTATTAAATATTTTTATTAACAAATAATAATAATTTCTCAATTTTTATATATTTTTTCAGAACACTAATATCTTAGTCCGGATAAAAATAACATACTAGTTTAATCGCAAAAAAAATACAAAATAACATGAAAACACATTGGTGGGCCTAAAAAACAGGTATAACGCTCTTTATAACAACGCTATACATATATAGCGCTGTTTCTAAAGGCGTTATATGTATAACCCTCTTTTAAAGAGCGTTATACTTTAACGTCCAAAACGTCCGATAAAGTATAGCGCTCTTTAAAAGATCGTTATACATAGTTAGATAACTTTTTTTTTACACGCATTTTTATTTTTTTTTGTCAAAAAGAATCACAAATGAGTTCTGGACTCCATATTTTGAAGTGTCTTTTCTTCCTACTTCTATGCTCTATTGTCTTGTTCCTTCTACAAAAAAAGGGTAAATAATTAAAATAAAATAAAAAATATTTCTGGGAAAACTAGATTCGTTGTCATAATTTTTCTTCAATCAGAGAAGCTGGTGTTTATAGTGGTAACTGGTAAATGAGTAAGGCCCAATTATTCACTATAACGAGCTGTGGGAAATGGAAACTTTTTCTGAAATTCTGTATTTATATTGAAAAGTTTATTGTTTATATATAACTATATCATGCCAAATCCAGTAAGGAAAGGGTTAGGTTGAATGGTAAGAGCAGTGAGCTATTTTCTTGTTTTTTTACAATTTTTCTTTTTAAGAAAGCAGAAATTATACACGTCGTAATCCCCAAAACAACTTCAAAGTCCAAACAACAACACTTTGCCTTCCTTAAACTACTCCATTTATTCTTTTTAATAAATAAACCATAAGGCTGTTTCTTCTAATCTTCTCAACTCCCAAAACAAAAAGTCTAAGGTTGTTGATCGTCGGCGTGCTACCACAATTTGCCGGAGCCGGAGGCCTTCCAACTCTCGCAGTGTAAGCTCTTTCTCCCTTAGAAGTTAGATCCTTTTTCCTTCTTCAATTCTTCTTTCCTGATTTATTTTCTTCATGTTTTCCTCTTATATTTTATATTTTACAATTTATACGAAATCTGATTTTTAATCTTTGATTCTAGGGTTGTCCCACATTTTGAACTTCATTCTCTTTATCAATTTGTGCTTTGGTTCTTTCCAAAAGCTCAAACTTGGAGTCTGACGACAGACAAGGTATGTGGTTGTTGTCCTACTTTCTTGTTTTTAGTTTCTTAGTGAGACTAACTTGCATTCACATGGAGTGGTCTTATGCCCTTATTAAGAAGAAAACTTTAATATGTAGTCAGGGGCGGAGCTACAGTAGAGCTACTGCTACAGTAGAAGAAAACCCAGTGACTTTTTTGTATTTGTAATTTAGAACCCATACACTTCGAATCCTAGCTCCGCCTCTGCATGAAGCAAATGGCACACCAAACCATGCCCTACAGAAATTTATCATTTTAGGCTCATTTATTTCAGTCCCTTTCTACACTCCCAACTACCCTTCATCTATGGCCTCAAATTTTCAGCTCAGAATTCAGAAAGGAATGAATATTCAAGAACCAAGACCCCATTATGAAGTCTTTGTTCTTTTGTTGGGTGAAAAGTCATACTCTTTGAAAAGAGAAAAGGACAGTTCTGTTTTTTCTTCTTCCTATGACTGTGAACTACACTATGTTAATAGCAAACATAGTTGTAGGAATTACAGGTAATTAAGGCCACTAGCAAAAGAGAAAAAGATAAGGTCATTCAACAAGTTAGTGTACTCTGATCATTCTCGTTTGTATATTACTCTTAGCATTGAACAAGTAAAACTAAGATTAATTTTAAGATAGAAACAGGCAAGCAAGTTCTTGATCAGTTTGTGGTTGCCTCTTTTGCGTTGCAGCTTTTAGAAATGGATATTGGCTTAACATTTGGTGGTGCATTTCTCTCTTCAGTTCTGCAAGTTCTCTTTGATAGGCTTGCTCCTCAAGGTGAGCTTCTGAAGATGTTTCGAAGGGGCAAGCATGATGTTTTGCTGTTAAAGAAGCTGAGGAGGACTTTGCGTGGTCTTAAGATTGTGCTAAATGATGCAGAGAATAAGCAGGCATCAAATCCAAATGTGAGTGAGTGGCTTAATGAACTTCGGGATGCTGTGGACAGTGCTGAAAACTTAATGGAAGAAATCAATTATGAAGTTCTGAGAGTTAAGGTGGAAGGTCAGTATAAAACTTTTTCAGAAACAAACAACCAACAGGGAAGTGACCTCAACTTGTGCTTGAGTGATAAATTTTTTCTTTACATAAAGGAGAAGTTGGTAGATACCATTGAAACATTGGAGGAGTTGCAAAAGCAAATTGGCTGCCTTGGCCTAAATGACCATCTTGACTCGGGTAAACAAGAAACTAGAAGACTTTCAACTTCTGTGGTTGATGAATCTGACATCTTTGGTAGGCAGAATGAAATAAATATATTGGTTGACCGTTTATTGTCTGATGATGCAAAAGAAAAAAAGTTGACTGTAATTCCTATTATTGGAATGGCGGGTGTTGGCAAGACAACACTTGCTAAAGTTGTTTACAATGATGAGAAGGTGAAACAACATTTTAAGTTGAAATCTTGGATCTGTGTGTCTGAACCATATGATGTTTTTAGAATAACAAAAGGGTTACTTCAAGAAATTGGTTCATCCGACTTGATGGTTGACAACAATCTTAATCAGCTTCAGATCAAATTGATGGAAAGCTTAAAGGGGAAAAAGTTCCTTATTGTTTTAGATGATGTTTGGAATGACAACTACAATGATTGGTATGACTTGAGAAATCCTTTTGCACAAGGAGAAAATGGAAGTATGATCATTGTGACGACACGTAAGGAGAGTGTTGCCTTGATGATGGGTAGTGGGCTAATTAACGTGGGAACTCTGTCTACTGAAGTCTCTTGGCCTTTATTCAAAAGACATGCATTTGAAAATAGGGATCCTAAGGAAAATCCAGAACTTGAAGAGATAGGAAAACAAATTGCAATTAAGTGCAAAGGATTGCCTTTAGCACTAAAGACACTTGCTGGTTTGTTGCGCTCCAAATCAGAGGTTGAAGAGTGGAGACGTGTTTTGAGAAGCGAAATATGGGAACTGCCAGATAACAGCATATTACCAGCGTTGATGCTGAGCTACAATGATCTTCCCGTGCATTTGAAGCAATGTTTTTCCTATTGTGCAATATTTCCCAAAGATTATCCATTTTGCAAAGAACAAATCATTCAACTCTGGATTGCTAATGGTCTCGTACAACAGTTGCAAAAAGATGAAACAATTGAAGATTTAGGCAACCAATACTTTCTCGAGTTGCGATCAAGATCGTTGTTCGAAAGGGTCCAAGAGTCTTCTAAAAGGAAGGTAGAGGTATTCTTAATGCATGACCTTGTCAATGATTTGGCCCAAATGGCATCTTCAAAACTTTGTATCAATCTGGAAGATAACGAAGGATCTCATATATTGGAAAAAAGTCGACACCTATCATATTCAATGGGATATGGTGACTTTGAGAAATTGAAACCCCTACACAAATTGAAGCAGCTGAGAACATTGCTTCCAATAAGTTTTGAGCTCGATAATTCATTTCCTTTAAGCAAGAGGGTGTTGCATAACATATTGCCAAGTCTAACATCCTTAAGGGCATTATCATTGGCTTGCTATGAGATTGAGGAGTTGCCGAATGTCTTGTTAATCGAATTGAAGCTCCTGAAATTTTTGGACCTTTCCCTGACAAAGATAAGAAAGTTACCAGATTCGATTTGTGTATTGTACAACTTAGAGACATTTCTCTTGTCATCTTGTTATTATCTTGAGGAGTTACCATTGCAAATGGAAAAGTTGATCAACTTGCGTTACCTTGACATTAGCAACGCTTCTCGCTTGAAGCTACCGCTACTTCCAAGCAAGTTTAAAAGCCTCCACGTGTTAGTGGGAGCTAAATTTCTTCTAGGTGGTTGCAGTGGTTCAAGAATCGGAGGTATGGATAAGCTGCATAACTTGTATGGATCTCTATCAATCCTAGAGTTGCAAAATGTGATTGATAGAAGGGAAGCTGTGAAGGCAAACATGAGGGACAAGAATCATGTTGAAAAGTTATCGTTGGAGTGGAGTGAAAAAAGTATTGCTGACAGTTCTCAAGATGAAAGAGACATACTTGATGAGCTACATCCAAATCGGAACATAAAAGAACTCCAAATTACCGGATATGGAGGGACAAAGTTTCCAAACTGGATCGCTGATCATTCGTTTCTTAAACTGGTGGAATTGTCTCTTAGCAATTGCAAGAATTGTGATTCCCTTCCAGCACTAGGACAACTTCCATCTTTGAAATTTCTTGCAATTCGAGGGATGCATCGAATAGTGGAGGTGGCTGAAGATTTTTATGGTAATTTGTCCTCCAAGAAGCCTTTTAACTCTCTTCAGAAGCTTGAATTTGCAAGGATGCTGGAGTGGAAGCACTGGCATGTTCTAGGCAATGGAGATTTCCCTACACTTCAGGACCTTTCAATTTTTGATTGTCCTAAGTTGATTGGGAAGTTTCCTGAAAATCTTTGTTCTCTAACAAGATTGAGAATTTCAAAATGTCCTGAACTCATTTTGGAGACACCTATTCAACTTTCAAGTTTAAAAAAGTTTGAAGTTGTTGGTTCTCCTAAGGATGGAGTTCTTTTTGATCATGCTGAACTGTTTGCATCCCAACTTCAGGGAATGAAGCAGATAGTTGAATTATATATTGATCACTCTGACTCTCTTACCTGCTTACCTTTTAGCAGTTTGCCAAGTACATTGAAGAAAATAAGGATGCGTCGTTGTCAGAAATTGAAATTGGAGACGTCAATTAGTCAGATGATTTCTAGAGGAAGTAACATGTTTCTCGAGAATCTGGAACTCGATGAATGTGATTCTATAGATGATATATCACCTGAGTTGGTTCCAAGAGCACGCTATTTTAGCGTAGAAAGTTGTCACAGCCTTACTAGGCTTTTGATTCCCAATGGGACTGAACATCTCAGAATTAATGAATGTGAAAATCTGGAAATACTTTTGGTGGCAGGCGGGACTCAGGCGATGCCATTGCGTAAGTTGTATATTTTCAACTGTGAAAAGCTGAAGTCGCTTCCAGAACGTATGGAGGAACTCCTTCCATATCTTAAGGAACTGCTACTCCAAAATTGTCCAGAAATGGAGTCCTTTCCTGAAGGAGGATTGCCCTGCAATTTAGAAGTTCTTGAGATCCACAATTGCAAGAAACTGGTGAATTGCCGGAAGGAGTGGGACTTACAGAGACTCCCTTTTCTCACAGATTTAACCATCTACCATGATGGTAGTGATGAAGAGATTCTTGCTGGTGAAAATTGGGAGTTGCCTTGCTCTATTCGAAGTCTTGAAGTAGACAATCTGAAAACATTAAGCTGCCAAGTTGTCAAACGCCTCACCTCGCTTGAATCTCTATTTATTGTTAATTTACCTCAAATTCGGTCACTGCTGGAAGAAGGGCTTCCCTCATCTCTTTCTGAGTTATATTTATATCGGCATCATGAGCTCCATTCATTACCAACCGAAGGTCTTAGGCACCTCACTTCCCTTCGATTTCTAGAGATCAACTCCTGCTATCAACTTCAATCTCTTCCAGAATCAGCGCTTCCCTCCTCCCTTTCTGTGCTGAATATATGGGATTGCCCTCTTGCAGAATCAGCACTGCCCTCTTCCCTCTCTAAGCTGTCCATCTGGACTTGCCCTAATCTCCAATCCTTTCCAGTAAAAGGGATGCCCTCTTCCATCTCTAGACTATCTATTCACAACTGCCCATTGCTCAAACCACGTATAGAATTCGAGAAGGGGGATTACTGGCCAAAAATTGCTCATATTCCCACCATAAAGGTCGAGGAGGAATACCTGTAATGGTTAAAGCAAATGGTGCTCTGATAAATGTAAGTTTTTTTTTTCAGTAGCTTTTTATTTTTGTTTACTTCCCTTAGCTTGTTTGTTAATTCTTTTCCTTCATTAATTTTTTTAGCAGCGCAAAGCGTCTATTGCAACAATGAAGCCATGGAATCATCATCAAGTCAGAGTTGTCCTAATCTTCAATCTCTTCCAGTAAAGGGAATGCCCTCTTCCATCTGTATTTTCAACTGCCCATTGCTCAAACCGTGTCTAAAATTTGAGAAAGGAGAGTAGTGGCCAAAAACTTTGATAGATGTAAGTTGTTCACTTCTTCAGCAGCTTTATATTTCATTACTTCTCTTCGCTTGTTTGTAATTCTTTTTCTTTGTTAATCTTGTAGAGCAGCGCAAAGCGTCAATTGCCAGCCTTTTTGCTCAGTTGATGAAAACAATGTTGTGCTGACATTCTTTATGAATAGGCAATCACCTCAACAGTGGTCTGTCAGAAGAGTGTAAGTGAGGAAACATACCTCTCTTTTGTGTGGAATTTTGCCAGCATTACTTCTCTTTCATCAGTCAGAAGGAAATATTATGTAATTTTCTATACCGGAGTTTTTCCTATGCCGAATTTCAAGCATCAATGAAAAGGCGTAGTCATTCTCTATATCAATTAAATATCCACTGCTATTAACTATTGAAACTGATATTTTGTCCAAATTAAATGGTTGACTAAGCTTTACATATTACACAATTTATATAACTTGTTTTGCTCTGTCTTCTTTTACAGTGGATTATTCAGCATAGATTGGTAGTAGTTTGAGGCTTGGCTCTGTTAACTTTTATTTGTTCGAACAAACTACTTAGCTTAAAAAATTTCACTTGACTTTCAGGTTTTCTTTCCAAAATATCATAACAGATCACAAATGCAATGTTTGACAACTTCAGAAATGATATTTTGTCCAAATAAGTAAGTATTTGTACTATTTTCTAGTTACACCAAACCATGATCAACGTGATCTTGTCTTAATTAAGAAGAATGATTCATCCTACCGTGCGAAGTTTCATTTCCAGTAAAAACTAGAAAGAAACAAATTTGATGGTATGTCTGAATGATGTAGCTCTCTGCTCTTGATTAAGAAGAATGATTCATCCTACTGTGTGATGTTTTGCTCGTCATTAAATGTAGAGATCTATGCTAAAGCCCCATATAGAAACTATATTCCAATGTATGTGTGTGTGTATAATCACGGACAACCATCCAAAAATTTTAAAAAAAATGAACTTCTGTTGTTATGAGTTGGCAGTCATTAGGCTTAAGATATTTTCATAGTTAGATTGCTTATTTCATAAATGTAAGTGTAAATTTGGCCAAGTGATAGCTAAAGTGTGTGCCCTTTCAGCATTCATGTGATGATAATTTCTTTTGTTTGTATTTCTTCCTTTCCTTCTAGCCTAAACCTGGGATGGATGATAAACTTGTCATCAGGAACTTGATGAGCATGAAATGATAGTTTTACTCCTATAGGACAGCGGTTTTTAGTTTGTATGTATGTTATGATCATCTTATATAGGATTCTTAGTTTTGTACCTATGTTATTAGAATTATCATCTCTAGAATGGAGTTTTAGCAAATTAAGGATAATATTATATTTTTTCTACTTTGTCAGGGATTTGATAAGAGTACATGGTATGATTGACTAATCTCTTTGCTCTATTTTGAAAATGATTTCAGTTTATAGCTTCCCTCCTCCCTCCAGCTCATCGATAATTGTCCAAATCTCAAGTCCCTTCCAGTTCGTTGCCTATAACCACGTCTAGAATTTAAGAAGGGGGAATCCTGGCTAAGAAGAGGGAATGCTGGTCACAAAGAGCTCAAATTTCCACCATAAGAATCAACGAGGAATGCATATAATGGTTAAATCAAATGGTACTGTGATAGAGGTAAGTTATTCTCTCCTTCAGTTGCTTTTCTATTTTTGCTACTTCTCTTTGTTTTCTTGAAATTATTTTTACTTGTTAAATCTTGTTGAGCAGTGTGTAGCGTCTATTGCACTGTGAAGCAGAGGAAGCATCTTAACTTCGAGATGAAATTTAATGTTAAATACAACAAAGATGATACATTTCAACTACAGAGATATTTATACATTCTGAAAAAGAGTATTGGTAGGAATTAATAGTTTGCTCTAGAACGTTGATAGCAAATTGTAATATTAACAAACTAGAAATATTTTACCATGAAGATACGTAGCTATGTCAGCCTGAATGTGCATAGTCTTTCGAATATGAACCAATCTTGCTTGAAGATTTTGTAGTGCATGTATTGCTTGAAGTTTCATCGCTATAGCAATTCATATAATCTTGTTCTTTTCCTTTTCCAGTGAGTTGAGCAAGGAGGAGGAGGTTGTTCACAAGTTCATTGTTGAGCTTTGATCTGTTTGCTGAGTTGTGTAAAAGTTATTTCTCCTCCTTAAATGCAGAGCTCTAATACAAGTCAAAGGTACATGTGACAGATTATTTGCTTTCTACCTATTAAAAATATTGAAGTTTCCCCCCAACTAATTAACCTCAGGAAGCTTCAGCACCATATAGTGTTATTAAGTATGATTATCTTGTCTCAACTTGATGATTTTTTTCTTTTTGTCAGGATTTGGGTAAAAATATGTAAGTTGAGTTCCAGCTCTTCGAGAGGCCAACAAAGGCAGAAAAGAGGTAAAACGAACAAGTTTTTGACGAGAAAGGTGGAGCTCTCTCTTTCTTTTTTCTTTTTGTGAAGAAAGAGAGGGAGGGAGACACAAAAGAACATTTACCACGTTCATCTGTCTCAACATGAATGTCATGTAAGTTGCACTGATTATTGTCCACTGTTTTAGAATTCATAAATTACATACTATCTCAACTTCTCAAGATAATCACAAATAAGAAGCATTCAGAAGAGAATTATCATTATTTTGCAGTAGATTACCAAATACATATGGGTCAACAAGCCAACTTTACAACATCAAGTATTTGAGTTTCACCTATGACCACTTCTCTCTCTCTCTCTCTCTTGATCGAAATTAAGCTCTCTTTGCAAAGAGCAACGTGCAATGTGAGTTTAATACCAGACATGCCAAGCTCCTTAATTTCTTTCGTAATAAGAAGGTTACAAGACGCAAGTTTTCCATCCTTGCTTTCTATCATTAATTCTATGTCATTCTTCCAAACTGATAAAGGCGTCTCTAAGATCAATGGTCCAATTGTAAATTCTTTAATCCACTACTCTCTAACACCATACTCTTTCATCAACCTTATATCTATATATTAGTACTTTATCTTGCTATGTTGTGTTCTCACTATTCTCCCGTTTTTCTTTACTCCCGTTTTTCTTTACTGGTTATTGTATTGCGTTTCAACTATTTTTTGGTTTCTTATAATATTTTATTATTTCTATGGTTTCTGTTGATGATACTGATATATTGTCTCTTTTGTCTTTTTCGTTTTCTTAAGCCGAAGGCCTATCGGAAACTGTCTCTCTACTCCACGGGGGTAGGGGTAAGGTCTGCGTACAAACTACCTTCCCCAGACCCCTTACTTTTGGGATTTTACTAGGTTGTTGTTGTTGTTGTTAGTACTTTATCTCGCCTTCGTATGGATAAAATTAGGTCTCATAACAAATCAAAGCTAGAGATTCTTTTAAGATGACAAGACTTTTGTCTAGTTCACGTAACACAGGGAGGAACAAAATGCGGCCGAACAACTCAGTGCTGAAGTTGAACGAAGCGATATAATAATCCTCCAATGATGACATATTAGTTACACGCCAATGAAAAGCTTCGTTGAACAATGTATGAAACAACGTGTGGTATTTACTATAAATGGAATATCCTCAGCTTCTCTCCAAGAATTTGTACTTAGATTATAGATCTCAACACTACTAACATATTGACCATTCGGATTGAGGATTCTAACAATCTTATAATCATTAATTCTGGGGTCGAACCTGAAACCAATTACAGGATGACACTTGTCACGTGGAGGTAAGTGTGAATGGAGAAGGCTAGGAGGGCATAGCACTTGTTGCTAACTCGTGTTACCCGAAGAAGGCGGAGCACCTGATAACTTTTCGGAGTACGATGGCCAAGACCCAGATTGATTATCTACTTCTCAGGAAATGTGATAGAGGTTTATGCACGGATTGCAAGGTCATCCCGAGCGAGAATCTTATGACCCAGCGTATGCTTTTAATTATGGACTTGGAGATCAGGTGGACGAGGAAGAAGAGGGCTATGTCTGGTATACCTAGGTTCAGGTGGGGTGCATTGACTAAGGACAGGGCCTAGGAGTTGGGGGAGAAGTTGCTGGCTATGGGGGCCTAGACGAGTAGCGGGGACGCGAGTTGTATGTGGTATATGACAGCAAATTGTATTAGAGAGGCGACGAGAGAGGTGTTAGGGGTCTCAAAGGGTTTTTCTGGTGGCCATAAAAGGGACTGGTGGTGGAACGAAGAGGTTCAAGGGAGAGTGGAAGCCAAGAAAGCGACATATTTGAAGCTAGTAGAGAGTATAGACGAAGGGCAGAAGAGTGCTAACAGAGAGGGGTATAAGAAGGCTAGGAAGGAGGCGAAGTTGGCGGTTACTGCGGCTAAGACCGTGGCGTTTAGTCGTTTATACGAAGATATTGGGGATAAAGGCGGGGACAAGAAGTTGTACAGGCTAACGAAGGTGAGGGAGCGGGAGGCCCGGGATTTGGACCAAGTGAGATGCATAAAAGACGAGGAGGGAAGAGTTTTATTGGAGGGGGCACAGATTAGGCAGAGATGACAATCTTACTTCCATAGACTCTTGAATGAAGAGGGAGATAGGGGCATTGTGCCGGGGGAATTGGAGTACTCGGAGCGGCAGCGAGATTTTGGGTACTGTAGACACATACGAGTGGGGGAGGTTGTAGGGGCTATGCGCAGGATGAGTAGGGGTAGAGCGACTGGGTCAGACGAGATCCCGGTGGAATTCTGGAAGAGCGTGGGTAAGGAGGGCTTGGAATAGCTTGCAAGGTTATTTAACGTCATTTTTAGGACGAAGAAGATACCCGAAGAGTGGAGGCGGAGTACGATGATCCCGTTGTACAAGAACAACGGGGATGTCCAAAACCGCAACAACTATAGGGGTATCAAGTTGTTAAGCCATACGATGAAAGTGTGGGAGAGGATGATTAAAGGGAGGTTGGGGAGGTGTATGTCCATTTCCGAGAACTAGTTTGGTTTCATGCCGGGACGGTCGACTACTGAGGCCATTCATTTTGTGAGGAGACTGGTGGAGCAGTATAGGGCAGTGAAAAAGGATTTGCATATGGTGTTCATTGACTTGGAGAAAGCTTATGACAAAGTCCCGAGAGAGGTTCTATGGAGATGTTTGGAGGCTAGATGAGTGCCTGTAGCGTATATTAGAGTGATTCAGGACATGTATGATGGAGCTAAGACACGAGTTAGGATAGCAGGAGGAGACTCTGACTACTTTCCGGTTGAGATGGGGTTGCATCAGCGATCAACACTTAGCCCGTTTTTGTTTTCTCTGGCGATGGATTCTGTGACGTGTCACATTCAAGGGAGGTGCCTTGGTGCTTCTTATTTGCGGATGACAGTCCTGATTGATGAGACGCGAGGTGGCGTTAACGAGAGACTGGAGGTCTGGAGACATACTCTGCAGTCTAAGGGTTTCAAGTTGAGCAGGACTAAGACAGAATACTTGGAGTGCAAGTTCAGCGGTGTTACCCAAGAGGCAGATGGGAATGTGAGACTCGATACACAAGTCATTCCGAGGAGAGAGAGTTTCAAGTATCTGGGATCTATAATTCAGAAGTATGGGGAGATAGATGAGGATGTCACACATCGTATCGGAGCAGGGTGGATGAAGTGGAGGCTCGCTTCCGGTGTCTTGTGTGATAAGAATGTGCCGTTGAGACTTAGGGGTAAGTTCTACAAGGTTGTGGTTAGGCTGACTATGTTGTATGTGGCAGGGTGTTGGCCAGTAAAAAACTCATGTCCAACAGATGAAAGTAGCGTAAATGATGATGTTGAGATGGATGTGTGGGCATACTAGGTTGGATAGAATTAGGAATGAAGTTATTCGCGACAAGGTGGGAGTGGCCCCTGTGGAGGCAAAGATGCGTGAGGCAAGGTTGAGATGGTTTGAGCATGTTAAGAGGAGAAGCACAGAGGCCCCAGTCAGGAGATGTGAGAGGTTGACCTTGGGAGGTGAGAGGAGGGGTAGAGGTAGGCCAAAGAAGTCTTGGGGAGAGGTGCTCAGGCGGGACATGGCGCAACTTGAGCTAACTGAGGACACGACCCTAGATAGAAGGGTGTGAAGGTTGAAAATTAGGATAAAAGGTTAGTAGGTAGTCGTGCGTTTCCATGCGTCTTCTCTAGTTCGATAGTAGTAGTGCTAGTACAATACCCTTTTTCCTTAGTTTGCTATATTCGCATGTCTCGTTTCGTTATTACTTGCTATCGGTAATTCCGTAGCTTGCTAGCAGTAATTCATTCATATTCTCGTTTGCTGCCTTGGATTTAGTTTTCTAAATATATTATCTTGCTATTACTTTATCAGTACCCCTTTCATATTCTCTATTGCTATCTTCGATTTAGTTTTCTAATTATTTGTCTTGCTATTACTGGCTATCAGGACTTCTTTCACATTCTTTAGCCGAGGGTCTATCGGAAACAGTCTCTCTGCCCTTCCAGGGTAGGGGTAAGACTGTGTACATCTTACCCTCTCCAGACCCCACTTGTGGGATTATACTGAGTGGTTGTTATTGTTGAGAAGGCTAGGAGGGAGTTCCCATGATTCTCTCAATGTTGGGTTATACAAAATAGTTTTTCTGTAACTAGAAATGCAGACAATGCCATTACACGGACCGGCGAGGCTAACATCTATAAAAGAATCAGTATTTTCCATTGAGGATCCACTTGTTATGGCTATACTTTTAGATTTGTTGCATTAGTTTGAAATTTTTTATTGATTCAATTCAAATAAAACTAGCCAAATACAAGACATGGCTTTTTTTTCACCTAAAATGGAGGCAATAGAAGGTGAAGTGTGTAATCCTTCTTCCATTGAAAGTGGTATGATGTTGTGGTGATAACTTCAGTACCCTTACACTTTTCTTCTCTTTCTAAAATGATAGAGAAATACAGTTTATTTTTAGACCTTCCTAAAATCAATTTGAGATTTGGAAAACCTTCCAATGAACACTAATAATGCACTATTTTAACGCTATTGGCTTGTATATACTGTTAAAATGTCTTCCCATTATTTTAAGGATTAGTCTTTGGACACGTGCATTGCACGTGTCCCATATTAATATGTACAAACTTTTTAAAACAATATAGATAATATTAAAACACGTAAGTAATGATTAATTAAAAGTTTTAAAATTAAAAATAAGCTAAATCAACTAAATTAAGTAGAACCATTTTTATGCTGCTTTTAACAAATATTCATTAATTTTTGTACCAAACAATCTGGATAAGAAATTATTTAGCAATTTCAATGAGAAATATTATATTTTTTGTCAGAATATGTTATATTAATATGCTATCTTCAATGTTTAAGTTATTCATTCGTTAATCCGTAGAATAAGCATCCATAAATCACTTACACCATCTTATTATCTTATAAATAAAGCTGATACCAAGAAAGTTTTTAATATTATAACCTCTAAGCATGTACCAGTTGGAAGTAATAAAGCTTTCTGTTGGCATAGAGTAGTCCACCATGAAGTCATGAACTATGTCAATGATGATTTATGCATAACTTCATATACATTATCTCATAAATACAAGCCCTTAGATAACATGTCAGCATAAAATGAACTGGTCTAACAGATAAATAGATTTTCCTGTCAAGATGGTAGATAAGTAGATTAGCACGTTGCTAAGTCTCCCCACAAAGTCAAAAAGTTTTTTTATCATACCTATATATTTAAAATTGAGTATCATAAAAATTACATTCTATTTATATTACAGATAGTAAAGTCTAAATCATGAGTGGCGAGTAACTGGTGGTAACTTTGCCTTTCGTTCGTAACTATTATTACTTCTCGCCTTCTGCTTCGTCCTTCTCCATTTAGTGCTTTCACTTTTATTACAATGCAAATCACATCTAAAAAAAATATGAAATATTAAATATCGAATAATTGCAGTTGCAAAATACTTTAGGTATTTACCAAATAAAGTCTCATTAGTGATCTGTTCTGACTCGTCCAAAGAAATAAAATCATTGGAGAATTGTTGAGACATAAATTCAATGTTGCACTGTATTACTTCTATGTTGCTATAAAACGCTACTTCGAGGTCCTTGTACACAGATAAGAAGTTTGGTTTTGTGCCGCATATTTTTCCGTTTATAATGTAGTAGCTTTTATTTTGGTCGAAAAAACTCTTTCATACTTGAACATCGTTATTGAAAAGAGTAGTTTGTATTTTTGTTCCCTGTGTCAAGATGAACAAGCAATAGTGTCACCAAAGGATGAAAGGAGGCAGTGTATTGAGCAATGAATATAAGAAACTATTAAAATAAGGTTACCTCTTCATCAACGAATATTAGCTGCCAACGTACACCTTCGCCGTTCTCATTTTTGTATTCCTTTATTAAACCTCGT